TCCCCCCCCCCCCCCCTCTCTCTCTCTCTCGCTCTTATATTTGGTGTTGGTGTGATCAACCTTGGGCGGTTGGATAAAGTATCTTTAATGTCTGATGAACTACAGTTTAAAACGTGATTGACTCAGCTATTGCATTTATATTGCATATATGCTACTCTAATTTCAAAAAATCAAAGCCAAAATGAACTTTTCATATTTAGGTTGGGCAGGGCTTCCCAAACACATCCTTGACTCAATTTTAGATTGTGTGATCCGGTTTTCTGACTATATTCATTTTTGCTCGGTTTGTACATCATGGCGTTCAGTTGCACTAGAGGAGAATAATTACCACCACGTTCAGAAATAAAAATTATGTATCCTTAAAGCATGTCACGGTCGACTGCCTATGCTGATGATCCCTCCTACACTCCACAACAAAGAAAAACAAAGTTTTTATAATATCACAGATGGAGTCATCCATGATCTCCAATTGCCAATGCCTTACAATAGGCGATGTTTTGGTTCTTCGCATGGGTGGTTATTTACCATAGAAAAATCCATGACCATCTCTCTCCTAAACCCTTTCGACGGGAGAACCATCCATCTCCCAGAATTGAAAGATCCTGAACATGTTTACGAATGATGGGTTCGGCAGNTTCATCTCCCAGAATTCAAAGATCCTGAAAATATTTACGAATTATGGGTTCAGTGGGATGACTTTGAATATTTCCTTTATAAAGGTATATTATCCTCTGATCCTTCTCAAGATGCAAATAGTTATGAAGTTGTGGTCCTATATGAAGGCTTAAGAAGATTGGCATCTTTTAAATCAGGTGATGCAACTTGGAGATTCTCTGACATCATTTCTTATAATGGTCAACTTCATGCAGTCAATAGATATGGCGGTCTTGTACGTATTGATGTTACCCGAGGGGATGGTAAAGTTATTATTAAACCAAGGCAGACTATGTATGCCGATATAACTTATCTGGTAACATCGTATGATGAAAATTTATTAATGATTCCAAAGTTTAGAAAAGAAAATAAGCACAGCCATGAACATTGGAAGACTTTTGACTTCAAGATCTTTAAGATGGTACATCCAACTAAGACAAGAAAAAAATCATCGGTGAAAATCAACAATATAGGTGATCAAGCCTTATTCTTGGGGGATAATTATTCTCTCGCTTTTTTGGTATCAAATTTTTCTGAATGCTCACCAAATTGCATATATTATATGGATCATGATTTTCCCATTACTCGTCACTATGTCCCTCATGGTCATGATGATGACACTGGTGTATATCGTTCAATCACACATTACATGTATATCGCTACAATTTTCTAATGCTTTATGTTTTTTGTTGGTCGTTAAATTCCTTAATACACAGTGATCTAATTTCCACCAGAAGAAGCATAGCTTAAATGTAAAAGTCCATGCCTAAATGAAGTCTGTGGGTGTAATAAGTTTTATATATAAACTTGGCGATCTTATACCATGCATGACTTTTAGAACTTGACAAAAAATATTATTCCTACTGTGATGTGTCTTTAGCTTAGAAATTTTACATCTATATAATAAAATAAAACGTAGTCTAAATTCATAGACAAATAGTGGTTCATATTGTTTCAAAGC